CGTTATGAATATATAGCGGTGATCTGTGGCTGATGAAAACAGATATTCCTACAAAGTATGATCCCTATACATATGCGTATACATAAGTACATATTCATATATGTACATACGTATGTACATTTGTATACTTAGTGCACGTAAATTCACTCATATTTCAGGTAATTAGGTAATATGTGCTTACCAGTTAAACGTATGTAGATATTTGCAAAAAGTTTACCTACATGCCCATAGCGCCATCTTAGTTTCACCAGCGCTATAAAAATACAAAGTCGTTAATTGTTTTGGAGAAAAAAATATGTAAAATGCAGACATTTCTTCTTCAAATTTCATCCATCTTCAAAAGCAATTGACTGTAAAATTCATCAACATCATATTTGTTTATGGTAAATATGGACCAGAGGTTTCCTTCGCCCATATCACACATCAAAACAGTAACTTTATGAGGATGTAAAGGCGGCTCAAATGGCAATGAGTTTCACCGCTGAACAGAATTCTCTCATGAAAATCGGGATTGATAACCATTTCGTATGGAGCCCATTGATCGATGTGCTATGCGCATGATGATCAAAGACTGTCCATTAGGAACAAAATAAACGAAGCTGAGTATAAATCAAGTAGCAGTCAAAAGTCAAAAAGTCTTATTCAGAAAGAGTATTGCTTCTTTGAAACCCACATGTCTTAAAAAACAATTGACTCATCAACTTAACAAATATCAAAAAAAAAAAAAAAATCCATCAAATATCCACTTGCAAATGAAATTCGAATAAATTGATCTAATTTTTGAGATTGTGACGGTTTAAAGTTATTTAGGATTGAAACTTTTAGTATTGAATCACATAAAAGACATTTTTGGCATAATGGATGTACATAGATATATCGTATGAATACCTGTAAATATAGGTATAACTATATATGTAGACTATCCGAAAATAAATATGATTATGTAACAAATATTACAGTGATTGGAAATACATATGTGTCGAGGAATCTACTTTATCGAGAAAATTAAAGCTTATTAATCATTCAGCATTCAGTGATAGGCGTGGGATCGGAGAAAACTTGTTAACAGTCTAACAGTCAAAAGGAAAGAGAAGGATTTTGCTTCACAAAGAGTTTGGTTGATTTTTAATGTATGAAGAGCATCAACGTCAGAACATTGACATCGAAAAACGCATCTAATCAAGTTTGTGGAAACTAAAAAACTGCTCTAAAAGTATTTATTCGTCTTAATCTTTGCAAAACTTATATTCTTGTTTTTTGTTTAATTATTTTTATTTTATAAAAAAAAAAAAATTCGGAGTGGTTGAGCGATATTTCATGAAAATTAAAAATATTTGAGACATATTCAATTTGTTTCCGTGTTTCGAAACCGAAATTGCGTATTTTAAAAAATGGTGTCGATTTTCATATTTTATATAATCACTGATGTTTATACAACTGAATACGTTTACGTGCGTATAATATGCGTCAACTGAAATTTCTACAGAATTGCAATTCGGAATTAATAAAAAAAAAAGTACCGAATAAAATATGCTCACCTCAGTTATTGAAAATTAAATGCATTAGAAACAACTTCAACACAATCCAGGTAACGCTTGACGTAGGTTAGTTCTGAGGTGTGGTGATCTCGAATTCCTACACCACCGGCAAACTATTGTTCGTGTTCATACGTGCTAATCTCTCTTTGTATGTATGTACATATGTACCATGAAGCACTTTCAATATGATAGATTTCCATGAATAGAAGCAATCATACAAATTTTTCAAAATACGCAAGCATAAAAAATTGCTTATTTTCAATAGTAGTTTTATATGTAAAATGCGTGACAAGAATTTGGAAAAAAAAAGTTATATCTTGGAATTGCAAATCATACGGTAAATCAATTTCTCAAAACTTTGGAAGCTATCTCGATCCATTTTAAATGATATTTAAAATTTTATGATAGCTTCAGCCAGAGAATTATTTTTGCCTACACTGGTCAAGGTATCCCGTCTTTTTGCGTTGGATTCCACTTGAAAGTTTTCCCTGGTAAAACAAGCAGTAATTATAACTTTTCCTTGATGGCTTCAGTAATATATATGAGCGATGCTATATAGCATTAGAAAGTTGAGATTGAGTACCAAAAATAGTTTTGAGACAGTTTTTTTTAGTAAAACTGTTCTAAAAGTTTTAAAATAAAATTTGGTAGCACTGAAGATAGCGGCTATACGAATTCAACTCGATGGTTCTGTGTGCTTTGTGTGTAGTGCTTTTACATGTAATTTGTTATTTACATGAGAAGCTAGTAGATAAAGGTCGAATCGAAGACAGCTACTGTAAGAACCAATCGTGTGAAGGTTTTCTATGTTTAATGGGTTTGGCAAAGAGTCATCTCTACTATGACCTGCCTGCTCCCCTATGATTTAACTTCTTATTTCGACCTGTACGGTCAACAATTAGACTATCGAAGGGAACAAATCGATAATGACTCGCCAAAAGTTTAAAGAGCTTGGTTGACAGATTCTTGTAAACTCACCTTATAATCCGGATCGGGCACCAAGTGATTACTGCCTGTTTATATAATAATGAAAAATTCTTAAGACGTTCAAACGAACTATTAAAATATTATTTAATGATTTACAGATAAATTCGATTTATTTAAATTAATTTTGCTTCTACTTTACAATCACTTTTTGCATTTACGTGTGTACATATTTGCATTTTTATTAATATTATTTAATAGCAATTAATATACAAGTTTTTCTCTTACACTCTTTTGTTTTCAAAGCTTTTTTTCTTATATATGTATATATTGGGTGTTCAAACAAGTCCCAATGTGATTGGTAGCACTGGAGATATACATCTGCAACGACATCTATGGAAAAAAGTATGTACATATATATTTTTTTTGTTTTGTTTCAGTTTCACTGATAAAATTTTCTTTAAAACACAATAAATAATTAAGTAACCAATTAATAATTCCATGTATTATTATAATATTTTTGTATGTATTTAGGCAAATATTCACAAAACTAAAAGAATTTCTTACTTATAGTAAGGTCTTAGAAGGCCTATTATTTGTTATGGCTTTAGTTTTAATTCGAGCAATTACGGAGTTTTTTAAAAGCACATATATATTTTTTAATTTGACTTACT